TTAATAAAATTTATATTTATCTATTAAAATATCAATTAACTTGCATCTTTTAGATAGAAGATTTTACAAATTTTTTTACAATTTTCTTACAAAATAAATATGATTTTTATTACGATAAGCATTAAGTAAATATAAAATTTGTGAAAAATAATAAGCAGCTGTAATCATAATGATTAAGATTCTGATTTTTGTTATCTCTTCTACAAAATAAAATATTACAATTGTATACTTACAATAAAATGTAAAATTTATTTATAAATTTTAATATGATCAAGGACACAGCAAAAATATTTTATTAATCTTCAATAGATGTTTCATTACATTGTAATCCATTGTTCCATTGTTCGACCTTCCGCTTTTATCGATGAATGTGGGCTAAAACTGACGCAGTCGTTGCCGACATTTCGCTCTAATTGCAGACGAATTAATGTCACCGGATGAGCGAGTTCTGCCGAGCGTTGATTGGTATGCTCAGCACATATCCTGCTTAATATCGTAACGACGATTGTCAGCATACAGTAAAGCCACGCGGGTGGAGAGGGAAATTGATTCGGTAAATATAATTAGAGCATAAATTGGCGGCTCTTCTATATCAAAAAGTCGATTAAAACAAATTTGAACGCGAATGAGATTTCGCCCAATTTTTAAACGCGTACACGACCCGGTTATGAAACGCATCATACGTATATTCCTCTTTGCTCTTTTATTTTTCGTTTATTTGGTTAGCTGTTATTTTTTACGTCATTGATCGAACATGTTGTCAATACGCTTTGATGAAATTATGGATATTTGTTCAAGTTGAACAATATGTTTGCCATGATTAATTGACATGATTGACAATCTTGACATAAATGTAATAGAAAATTACCAGTAAGATGACAGCATTGTTAGTAATCATAAGGAAATATGTATCTTTAACTGCAAAATAAATTGCGTTTTATTTTTCACACTTTTAAATTTACGAAAGTAGACAAATATTATTACTATTATAAATCGACGTGATAAATGTCGAAGAATAAATATTTGGAGTTTTATCGTAATTTAATTCGCGTAAATGTGCATACTTGCATATTTATCCGCGAATGCTGTTTGTCATAGGATTTTCGAAAGAATATTGAGCTCGCGAAGACAATGCATTATTTTGCGAATGCAAACACGTCCGATTCCTTTTACGAATTTAAAGTACTCGCGAAGTGAACGGAGATCCGCCGTCGGCTCATATTAAATTCTCTTCCGTGTCGTTTGTTTACCAGGAAAAAGTTGGACCGCGTCGCCTGGCTGCTGCAACGCAGTCGCAAACGCCGGATGGGCTTTAAGGGTCACCGTGACGTCATAGGACAGATCACAGAAAGAGGGCGAAGGGATGAATAAATTACGAGGGCGCTGACACGTTGCCGAGATAGGTGGGTGAGTAGCAGCTTGAACCATTTTCGAGTGCATGCAGTCGGCCAGTTAAATGGCGAGTTTTCGTTCCGTTTTTTTCCGTTCACTCTATGCGATTGCTCGATACAGCCATTTAATCGCTATCATTCCGCGTTATTGCGCGTCTTCTCAAAAGAGAAGAAAAATAAAACTGTGCTCGCGAACTTTTAAATCCAGCATACTATCAGATCAGAATAAATCAAAATAGAAATTATCTTTCATTATTTAATTCATTAAAATGCATGGAGCTTGAAGAGAGATAAAATTCCGTATTCAGAACGCGTTGAAGAAATGAACGTGTGTGATTAATGAATAAGCGCTGGGATACGCTAAAATTGTCCGATGGCGTAAAACAAAACACTTGTTCCACAACACGTTCGATAATTGCGAACGAAATGCATACGAAAATATACTTCTTTTGATATTTCTTTCAACTCGATAATATTTACAATTCAATTATTTTACGTTGGTGTTTATTTTTGCAAATTATTCAATGCATTTTTAATTGGGCTTTATTACTTCACTTGTGGTGCAACTGTAAATATTCTTTGCGCATTCCACGGTTAATTTACGGACAGAAGTAATGAAAGTCATTGATGTTCGTCTCCGCCGTACACGAGAAACACGCGGCGCCAGAAACATGCGACGTCGTGGCGCCATCCTTGTTTTCCCGTAATGTTTATCCGGAAACCGAGCAGTTTCGTCTTCGTTTTATCATTGCGAGCGGATATTTTATTGGGTCATCGCGATTGCAGTTGCTATTGCCTGAAAACTGCAGTATTACGATAAAATAGATATCTCTATTATGAAAATATTTCAGTTACGTGCGGAATGGAATTAATATTTCTCTACATTAACATTGGCAAAAATTCTCTCACAGAGGCGGAGAGGGCAAATAATCTTTTATAGAGGCGGAATAATTTGTATACTTATGCAACTATTTCACTGACAATGAGTAACATAGGATCGCGTAATGAACTTTACTTCGTTGACGTCGGATTATTTATATATAGTTCAAGTTGATTTGCGGTTCGCGTCGCGCTGCTACTGAATAAATAGCCTAAAGTTTACTTTAATGCGTGCACATTGCAGCACGTATTGCACACAGGCATTTCCTGACCATTGCGCTAAATCACGAGTAATGCGGTCGTCGTGACTCGCCCAGGAAGCATTACAGAAGCACTCTACGTACTGACACACAGTTTGCTCCACTGTTATACGCGGTAGCGATCGCGATTTTCAAGTGCAGGCTAACAATAACTTGCAAATCTAATTTTTATTATCGACTGTACGATGCAATTTTTCCATTTGTCCGCACGAGGTCTCGTTTATTGGAGGATTGCAAAGTTATGAGCGGGCCCGAGGAAAAAAAAAGAGAACTTCTTCGCGCGCAAACTTCGTACCATCTTCGTTGGCATAATAATTTTCTCATATTCATATTCATAAGTACTGCATGCATATTCACAATAAATTTCCCAGCGGAATCGCTGTACTGGAAAGTGTAAATTATTTCGTGGCAAATTGAAAGCTGTCTGCATGGATGTTCAGTAGCGAGAGCGACGTGGTCGGAACGACGCAGTCGTTTCCGTGCAGACTGTTTAAATTAGTCTGATGAGAAATTGTCAATTCCAGCTTTTCGCATATCACGACTGGACCCACGGTTTACGGGCGACGCGAAAGTGCGGATTAAAGTTACGCTAGTTACCTAGTTATGGCATTTAATTTAGTTTAGTACGTAACTGCAATAAGGAATCGACACGAACGCTATACGGACACTATGTATACACACTTGATACATCTATTGCGATAAATTTTTCGAATGCACGAATGTAAAAATGTATCAAATATTGCTGTTTGTGAAAAATTATGATTTTTTAATTTTTGCTAAAAAAAAAAAATAGGAGAGAAAAAGCCTTTGATATTATTCCATTTCTGGATTAACGAGCTTTCGGTATTTGTTTTATGTCGAGCACATTTGTTACACTTTGAAAACGAATGATGCGATAAATTTTGTTACATGCCAGGCGACATGAATCTTTCGGAAATCTCTGTTCTGATATACGTATCGCTGAATCTTGCTAGCACGTGCATGGCACTGAAGCAGATCCCTTTGCGAGAGACCGTTCACATTAAAGCCCGTAACGTATCGGACGTTTTTCTCTAAATAACTCGATTTTCCGTTCGAATAACGCGACACTCGGCGATGGGCAGGTCTGTCGAATGATCGATCATATATAAAGAATCGATTTAATCCGCACGTTGCATTTAAATTAAAGATTCATTTGTTACGCAGTTATACGAAATATCGACTTTATAATTTTATCATTTAAATTTCTTATAATTTCAAACGTGTTGAGAAATATGAACATTTTCCATTTTATTTCAATCCTTTTTCAAATTTTTCTTCTCATGAATAATAATGTATGATAAAATACGAATTTTTTATCCGTAATAAAAAATTCTTTTTATCAGTTCCTTTACTGCATAATTCTAGTTCCTTTATATATTTGATATCAAATGCATATATATATATATAATATTTGTTTCATTATTAATAAAACTAAGCCGATTTCTCGAAGGAGATTTGTTGTTTGAAGGCACGTACGATATTGCTGTCGAAAATTCGCACGTTCGATCGGAATTGCAAGTAGTTCTACGATAAGTCCCCAGGATTCAATAAATTGGGTCTCTTTCCATCCACGATTGACATTCGGACGCATCGTCCGTCTTTTTCCCGCCCACTTCGCCACACCAATCGCGCTGTCGTCGTTTGTCTTTGTCGTTCGCGTTGACCAGGCTACCACTACTCACTCGTTCACCCCTGTCGAAGCTGAGTTTCCTCTCCCTCCCTTCCTCCCACAAGTGGAGCGAGCACGGTCGGCGAATCGGGTCCAGCGTCCACGTTTCTTACTGTTGGGGGTTGTTGGAGGGTGCGAAATTTTCCAAGACAGTACGCGTGTGTAAGAGAGAAGCACGAGATAACGGGGCAGGGAGAGGCGAGGCAGAGATCGAAGAGAGATTTAGGTGGGAGCAAAACGACATGGCTTGAAGAGAGAAGAGACGAGAGCGACGTTCCAGAATCGCGCGCGCGACGGAGACGGCATGAATGAGATGACTGAGTCACGAGGTGCGGAGCGGAAGAACGAGAGGTATCGGTTTGTCGTAGAGAAAGAGAGGAAAAATAATAGAGGAAGAGAGGTCTATCTACAGCAAAGAAAGGATACATTAGTGCGGAATGCAAAAGAGAGGAACGTGCAGAAATGCGAGTGAAAAGGGAAGTTGGACTGACGTAAGAGCAATGAGGAGAGCCGAGACTACGCGCGAAGGATAAAGCGGGATGAAGAATAAAGGAGAAGCTACGTGGAAGTGCGAGGAGGATAAAAAGCTCGGAGAAGTTAAAGGAGAATTCGCGGCTGAACGGGAGAGAAAGAAAGAGAGAAAGAGAGGGAGCTTCTCGTGGATAAAAGAGGGTGCATTTTCTCGCGAAGGGTGAGAGGGACCAAGCTCAGGGTGGGGGAGCCAGCTGCCACCGCACAGCTACACCCACGGCGACGATCGAGGCGGACCTCAGTCGTCCGCGCACCCTCGAACGGTGAGGGGTAGTTGTGCTCGAAGGTAGTGAGCTAGTACCTCGTCGGCTCTCGCCGCTGCAAGCACCGGGTGCTGCGAGACACCTCGCTTGATTCAGCTGACTCCGATCTGTGCGACGTTTCCCGCCAACGACGTCACTGTTGTCACAAGCATTCGACCCTTGGTGACCGACAAAGAGGTGAGTAAGCGTCCAGCTGGAAACCCCAAAAGGGATCAATCGAGACGCCGTTCTTTCGAGACTCGGCTCGCTCGCCCGCTCGCGTTCAACGATCAAGTTCTAACAAGTGCTTGATTTTCATACGCTTGATTAAAGGCTTTTCGATTAATTAAACCGAACGACGGCTATAACGCCAAGAGATTCTTGGCAAAGCTTTTAGCGGAGCGGTATGTGTTTTGTTTAGTGTACGTTTAACGGAAAAGAATTATAATTCAGAGTTGTAAACCGATTTTACATGAGATTTTAGAACAAGCTAAATATGGAATTTTAATAGTCGATCTTTTTACGTATATAATGATGTCAAGTTATCAATCACTTGAAAAGTGACGTATCGTAAAAGATAATGTGATATAAGAAAATTGTGGTCACACGAGAATATTTTACTTTATTTTCCTTTGTACGTAAAGATAATAGTACATCTGCCGATAAACACAATTATCTCAAGCGATCATATTAAATTTGGAAGCCTCGTGTTTCAAAGCTTGTGGATGTCATGAGCCAATCGATGTCGAGACACTATAACGAAACAGAGGCATTTATCGGCAAATGAATTTCCCTGTAGTTGGGAGAATTAAGTGTAAACTGTGATTCATTATTTGCTTGTTAAATTTGACAATCAGGAAGCTTGTCCGATAAATCGTTAAGCGAGATAGCACTTAAAACAGGCGAATTTATCGGAAAATAGTTTAGATTGTGCGATAGAAAGTAATTGTTGCTTCATTAAGAACTTATTTTGTTTTTATTGTCCAAGCAACACGTTTGGACAATCGACGTGATTGGTGTGATGTAATTTTTGTCAAATACAGTCGAACAGTTAATCGAGTTTATTAAAGCACATTGATTGAGTATCGATTCTCGACTAATTAGCGTGGACAGTGTGTTTCAATTGGTCTTGAGATGACAAACCTACGTGCACGCGTACTCATTGCTTAGTGTACCGAACGTTATTATCGATTGAAATTTATTACGATCAGATATAATCATCAATATTCGATATTTTATAATGCACATAATTTTCTCTCATTTATCTTTGACATATAAATACACAAGTAAAAGCAATTTAATAGCAATTTGTATCGCAATTTGACTAAATAAACAAAATTATGCAAATATATTGCATGCTTTTCCGCAAACTTATGTAGATTCCTGTAAAAAATATATAGCAGTTTATACTGAATGCATAAATGTATTAACCACCTTTCAAAGTTCACTGTAAACTTATTATAAACATGATATAATCGACCAAAGTTTGCTCCGTTAAAAAGTTAATAGCGTCTACTTGTATCTTTAAACATGAGTATAAAATGTGAGATCGGGCTCGGAGACGCGCAATTGTTATCGTTAAAGGATTTCGCACCTGCCTGAAAATGAAGTTACGACAAACATCATCGAAGAAAAACCGGTGTGTAGCACGTTCAAGGAGCTCGCATGAGGGAGATCCCGAACGTGTTTGCCTTGCTCGCGGAAGCAGAAAGCGAGGGTTAAGGAGGTGATGCTTTTTTCCTCTTTCTCCCTCGATTTCCTCGCTGTACCTATTCGTGGTAATCGATACCCTATCGTTGAGACGTAACTCACCTTGCATATCCGATTGCTCGCAAGTAAAGATTAGGCTACTTTAATTTAAAATTGGCAAGGTGTTTTGACTAATTGTCATGGATTTAACGAATGGACTTTTTACCGTTTAAATTATATTATTAGTAACAAATATTTCCGAAATTTTCTACATTTAACATTTGCATATATTAAATGAGAGAAATTTTTATGAGAGAAGTTTAAAAATTACAATATTCAGCAATTATATAAAAAATGGGCAAATAAATAAACAAACTATATCAATATTTTGCGCAAGTATAATGAATAATTTTATTCACCGGTCGCGTTGTACCTCCGCTAAATACTTGAAAAAATTGAAATATGTTTTAGTTTGTAATTTGTAATATAATTTATCTTTTATTTTACATATAATAATTATTATTTAACTACTATTATTTTGATGAAAATATAATTGCATGCAATAAACTGCGCAAATAATTATTAAAAATTTTTATATTATATATTTAATAAATACAAATCATTTAATATATGCAATATTAATTACATATTATATTTGTATGTTTGTAAGCAAATGTGTGCAGAAATAATTAACAAATAATTGCATTTGCAGCTAAAGTATTGCACTTTGTTTCCATTATTTGTCAAGTATTGTAAAATTCGACGTTCTTTTGAATGTAACAGTCACTTATAATAAAAGAAGTATAGATATATTGTATCTTTTTAAACTGTATTTGTGTGATATAATTTTAATTATATATTTTTTTATTTTATTGAATAACATATGTTTAAGTTAAAGTAGCTCATTACTTTTGTTATTAAAAATGAATATGTTGGCGTCAGATGAACATAAAGCGGCTATTTAAATTAAAATATTTAATGAACAATTATAAAATAGCAAACACATATTAATTGTTTGTTTTTGCACATATTTAAATCTTCAAATGTACAACAATGTTATGATGACACACATACATTATTACATTATTGTAATTACGATCAAATTTCTATATTTTATCTTCTGATTATTTTTTTTCCTCTTGTATTATTCTCCCACCGTATCACATTTGTTCGACTACGTTAAAGTAAGAAAATAAAGGAAAAATAAAAAATACAAAGCTTTTGAACCGTTATCAGATTTCTTTCTTTTTCTTGTATTATATATCAGTGTTAAATTATCAATTGTTTCATGATATGTGTTGTATTCACTCCCTTTGTTACCTGAACGTTGTCATATTGAGCGAATCTAAATTGACAGAAAAAAAGCGCAAAAATAAGGGAAAAGGGGAAATCGAAAAAAAAAGAAAACGGAAATTTGACTGTATTGGAATGATGCCGGCAACACGACACGGGTCATTTCCGTCAACTCGATGTTATTTTTTTAATCGATACTTCGTATCGCGCTGTATCGCTGGAGTCATTCCAAGGTGATATCGATCTTCTGGGCGGCAAATTTTACATTACGATAAAATAGGAATAACAGGGATATGCGTCGTGTGAATAATTTACTGCGCGTCTGTTTATCCGTTGTTGCCACAAATTGGATACGCATTTGTCGACAATAGTACATGGCCTGTCTCTTGACATGTAATCACCGCGAGATCTACAATCTTGCTAGAAACTCGAGAGTGTGTGTGTGTGTATGTGTGTGTGTGTGTGTGTGATTTCTGCAGAACGGAGATATTTTAATTATTTAATAATTTTTAACGAACGATAGCTTTCATATGCTCTGCATGGCTTCTCCATTTTGATTTAGATCAATTAGCAGTTTTAAATTGTATGTTGTTATAAAGAGAAATATATAATATGCACTTTAAAAAGCGGGTATAAAATTTTAAACGGAAGTTAAAATGGACTTTTATCATCAGTAATTAACCAGACGTGGTTTTGCGATCCTTAAAATATTAATATACATTTTAATCATAAAATAAACTGCAAATAAAAAATTTCGTTTTCCAAATCGGAAGCCATTTATATTTGAATTGGATTTTATTCATAGTCTTCGATCGATCTGTCAAAAACTTAATTTTTATTTGTCGCGTATTGCTCACTATATGATAGCAAAAATAATCGCGATCCAAGATTCGCTTTTTTTTTTTCATTATAAAACCGATATACTGCGTGTATATGTATATATACACAAATACATACACACAAAACCTACGCTTCATAAATTTGTATATCCCTTTTCTTTTTTAAGCGAAGGTTATGAAAGTATGACGCACTTAAGCTAAATCTTGACATTATGGCACATATTTGATTTAATGCGCACGAATGATTACGAACTATATTAAGAATCTATTTCCACACACATGTGACACATAGATGTGGCTATAGATCCAAAATTCTATTCAGTTTCTTTTTCCTCGCAAAGTCACTATCCAGATAAACCGGTATCTCGTTTCATCAAGTGAGCGTTGCAGGCAAAAAGTGGCGAGGATAAAAACGGCGTAATGAGCATGCGGGATTCCCGTTGTAATCAATTACCACGATTGTCGCAACGTCCCGCTTTATTTCCACACTTAAAAAGAATTCGTTATCGACGGCCTTGTGTTTCTCTGCGACAGCAGGGGGGAATCGATACGCATTTCTCGCTCATGTAATCGAATCGATGTTCTGCGAGTAAGTTCTCTTGTAACTCGGATTGAAAGAGTTAACGAGTTTTCTGTACGAGACCGCTATATCTCGAGTTCTCAATTCCATCGACGAACGTGAGACGCACCATTATCCCGATCCACGAGATTTATTTTGATATCTAAGTTGTAGAACGCGGCGCGCAATGATTATCGCGAGAAAGGGAGGCGGATGAGAGCGCACGCAGTTTCCGCGTCAAATACGCAGCGCAAAGTTGCGGCGCGAGTTTCTCTCGCGAAGACAGTTCGCGACTGCTGCCGTCGCGGTTAACTGTCTTTCATCATTACCAGTTTCCAAGGAGCGACGGCTTTCATACTCTGAGTAGTTTAGACTCCGCTCTAGTTTATACGAGTCTTGCTTTGCGAAATGACTGACATGACTTACATCTCGACATGCAGTTTTCAAGTCATTTTGCATTACAAAAATTTGTTCCAACGTTTAATTAATTTATACTAAATTAGTCAAATTATATCTAGTCAAATTATTATTCTTATATCAAACTGTTGAATACATTATTATTTTGCAAAAAGTGATAAAAATAACGAGCAGGATTTCCGATACAGAATTTTAGAAAGAAAATTGAGATTATTTTTTTGTATCAAAGAATTCTTGAAGCTTTATTTTTTCTTCCCAGCCATCGAGCTGGTTGCGTCAATCTTGTGTATGTACAAGTTAATTGATACTTGCTTTTGTAGATGTTATCTGAGCACTGTTTGTCGTTGAATTGTGTTACAGCGAGAGATCTTTTGTCTTCGCGGATGTGTAAGGACGCGTAT